GCTACAAAACTGTGTGCTCTGAAAAGAGCTGTTTTTGACAGAGTAAAATAGATGTTTTTTACACTACCATTGAGACATTTTAACCAAACTATGTTACAGACTTTTCATTAAGACCCTAAAGAATCATATCAACTTGTGGAAAATGGACATCCTATGACCCCTTTAACATTTTATATATTCTTCAAGGGGTGTGTAAACTTATGAGCACAATTGTGTATAAATTAAAATTCATATTTTTCAATTAAAGACAACTTATAGATTTAATATGGCCTACATTTTTTTTATTGGTCATTTTGTTTCAAGAATAAGGTCCAAGGTTAAGAATCCGCTAGAAGTTACTTAAATGTAAAATGTTTTTCTCTATTTAACAACATTACAATAGTGAAAGACGACTTCCCTAATTGACCTCAGGTAGATTGCATGTTTTCTTGCGCGGCTGGATGTTGGACTCATGAACAATAATAACATTGTTTGCATTCGCCAAAACTGATTTGCTGAAGTCAAAACACGGACAGTGAAGGGAACTGGCATTAGCGCGACCACTGCTTACTGTAATGCGGGAGCGACCAGCCGGCAGAGGATTCCGCAGCCTTCCTCTACATATTCTGCATGAGGGAGTGGATGTGATTGGATGATGACAGGTGACGGTGATCATTCTCAAGTGTCGTGATCTGCACTGCTGCTGTTGCATCAGTCAGTGGATAGATCAGCATAGCAGTCAATAAACGGGACAAGGGAGGTCACGTACAGGACATACCAATTAACCCAATATATGGTACTACAACGTTCTACAACTAACGCTACCTAACTTTCAAAATATTATGTTATTATGTTTTACTGCCAACTAAGTTAACAGTTCAAACAAAACTGTAAATACCTTTCAAAAGACCAGGTTTAAAAATTGAAAATGTGTATTTTAATCTCATGCTGGACTTTTAAAGGGAAGTTTAGTGTTATTGGTAAACACATACCTGCCTGTGCTAATATAAACTCTTGATATCGAGCGCCGATGTTGTTTCTGGCTGTGCAGTTGTAACGTCCGAAATCCCTGTCCGACACTGGAGTGACCTGTGGATAAAAACAAACCCAAAGGTCAGGAGAATGAGAAAATGAGTGCAAGAATATGGATATGCAACTAGATACAGTAGCAGTTCATGTGTAAGTTAAATACATTTTCACTGGGTTCAACAAGAGGAACATAACTTAACCAGCACCTTTTGTTTTGGATGCTGTTGTTTATTCATTATTTTAACCAGAAAGATTTCCGTGGTCAACCTGCTTCACCAGAAAGATCATGCACAATTAAAAATAAATGAATGAATAAATAAATAAAACTCTAACTAAAATGAAAAACAAATATACCTAATGTGCAATGTAAATAAACTACTAAAAGTGCATTATTGTAAAGTTGCTGAACCTCTAGAAGCGATCGGCCCTCTGTGGTGTGAATGCGGATGTTGCTGGTCCCTTGACTAGAGATGGTAAACCGGTCTCGTCTCCACAGCATGGTCGCTGGAGGGTTGGACTTCACGTCGCAGCTGATGTTCACTGGGTTTCCCTCCCATGAGTAGAAGATGGTTTGATTGGTCTGGAACTTTGGCGCATCTAATAAAAGAGAAACAGAATGAGCAAAATGAAACTGGAAAAACAGATTTTTGGGCCATGCTAGAAGGTCCAAGGTCATCTATACCAGCCAGATGTCCAGCTGATCGGCCATCAACACTGTAAAGACTTTTAAAACAGTTAAATAAGACCAATCAAAAAAAAGATTACTGGAGTACATTTTACAAGAAAATAATATATCAATCTTTCTACTTTAAAAAGTCACATTTATTTCAATGTTATGCTATTTCTTTGTGAAATTTACTAGAAATTTCTGAGTGAAGTTTCTTGAGGTTTTTTTTCCCAAGTAAATCCTACTCCATATATACCATATAAAATCAGCAATTAGAAGCTTGTTATGCAAGTAAAAATAAAGTCCCTTTCAAATGTCTTCCATCAGGGCTTCAACACAAGCACAATAACCATTGTTATTATAGTTAACTGAAACTAAAACCATATAAAACCACAAATAACTAAAACTTTACTTAAAATTAAAACAAAATTTGAAAATATTAAAATCATAAAAAACAAAACAAAAAAATCACTAAAACAATCACCAAAAAAAATCATACAAAATTAAAATTCTAAATATGAATACAAAATATTATTAAAACTATAAAAGTACTTCTGTATTTGCTTCTCAATTAAGTTGCTTTGGATAAAAGCATTTGCTAAATGAATAAATGTAAATGTAAATGAAAACGTAAATGTCACGATAAGCAAAGGCAAGTCAAACAGAGGATTTATTGTCCACAAAAAACAAACTTAGGCAGTCTGCGATCACTGGCCGTATTCGGCGTTCGTAGAACTGGACTTTAACTCAGGAGCACTGGAACATAAGGGTTGACTTGACTTGAGTGTACATGGTGCTACCCTGGGCTGCAGAGCGAGGAGTGACTACCTCTCAGACAGTATGGACCGGAGGACAGCGTCCGGAGGAGTTTCTACTTTAAAAAGTCACATTTATTTCAATGTTATGCTATTTCTTTGTGAAATTTACTAGAAATTTCTGAGTGAAGTTTCTTGAGGTTTTTTTTCCCAAGTAAATCCTACTCCATATATACCATATAAAATCAGCAATTAGAAGCTTGTTATGCAAGTAAAAATAAAGTCCCTTTCAAATGTCTTCCATCAGGGCTTCAACACAAGCACAATAACCATTGTTATTATAGTTAACTGAAACTAAAACCATATAAAACCACAAATAACTAAAACTTTACTTAAAATTAAAACAAAATTTGAAAATATTAAAATCATAAAAAACAAAACAAAAAAATCACTAAAACAATCACCAAAAAAAATCATACAAAATTAAAATTCTAAATATGAATACAAAATATTATTAAAACTATAAAAGTACTTCTGTATTTGCTTCTCAATTAAGTTGCTTTGGATAAAAGCATTTGCTAAATGAATAAATGTAAATGTAAATGAAAACGTAAATGTCACGATAAAAGGACACAGAAGCAAAGGCAAGTCAAACAGAGGATTTATTGTCCACAAAAAACAAACTTAGGCAGTCTGCGATCACTGGCCGTATTCGGCGTTCGTAGAACTGGACTTTAACTCAGGAGCACTGGAACATAAGGGCTGACTTGACTTGAGTGTACATGGTGCTACCCTGGGCTGCAGAGCGAGGAGTGACTACCTCTCAGACAGTACGGACCGGAGGACAGCGTCCGGAGGAGAGCGAATTGCTGGCAGTGGGTAAATGGGAGACTGGGCAGAAATCCAAGTCACACGATAGGACACAACTAGATAACACAGGACTGGACATGACTAGATCCTACAAATGACGTAATAGAGAGCCAAGAGACTGACATAAAAGCACAATAATCTGGCAAAAGACCTTGTAACACGCAAAGAGAAATAGAGAGGAAAATCAGCATAAAGAGGGAACAGGTGCAGTCCCAATCAGAGCGAGCGCTGATTGTGATCGCGAACAGCTGAGTCTAGGATAGCACAGCACGAAAAAGAAAAGAAAACTAGAGTCAAACCCGGCTCATGACATTACCCCTCCCCCAAGGAGCACCCCCAGGCACTCATGAGGAAGGAGACTGGCAAGAATGACGGAAGTCCTTGATGAGCGAATGGTCCAGAATGTCCCGGGCCGGGATACAGCTTCTCTCCTCCGGGCCGTACCCTTCCCAATCGACCAAGTACTGGAAACCCCTTCCCCGAGGGCAGACAGCCAACAGCTTCTTGACTCTAAAGACGGGCGAACCCTTGACAGGGACGGGGGGGAGGGTGGGTAAGGAAGGTAGGGTGGGCAGACAATGGGCTTAATACACAAGACATGGATAAAGGCCTGGACGGAGGGGACGGAGACTTCGGATTCTTGAGAGGAGAATAGCGGTGGTTGGTAACCTAGACAACAATGAATTGGAGATAACCCAGTAGATGACGATGGTAACGAATTAAAAGCGTATTCAGCCCAAGGCAGCTGCTCACACCAGGAAGTGGGGTTGTGAGCAGCTAGAGTATGGAGCAAACGTCCCAATATCCGATTGACGCGTTCAGCTTGCCCATTTGTTTGTGGGTGAAATCCTGACGACAGACTGGCCGTAGCTCCAATCTGCCGACAGAATTCCCTCCAAAACTGAGAGACAAATTGTGGTCTCATGTCAGAGGGTAGTCCAGATTTTAAAAACGTGCTCAAATACTGTTAGCACCGTCTCCTTAGCAGAGGGGAGTTTGGGAAGGGAGACAAAATGGGCCGCCTTGGAAAAGCGATCGACAACTGTAAGAATTACCGTGTTACCCGCGGAAGGAGGTAGACCCGTAACGAAATCCAAAGCGATGTGCGACCACGGATGAGACGGAATAGGGAGGGGGCGAAGCAGACCAGCAGGCGGGGAGTTGCTAGACTTAGATTGGGTGCAGACTGGACACGGAGCTACAAAACAGCATACATCACAGACTAAAGCAGGCCACCAGAAACGTTGACTGACAGTAGCTTGAGTCCCTCACACCCAAGGGTGCACAGCGAGCCTGGATTTCTCAAGCGCTTCGCGTTCGGGGGTGGACAAGAAATAAAGTCTACCACGAGGTGGCGTACTACCCGGAACAAGATCAATGCTGCAGTCATATGGTCGATGGGGAGGGAGAGAAGCAGCCCGAGAATGACTGAATACCGCTCGCAGATCGTGGTACTCCTTCGGGACACCAGATAAATCGCCGGGTTCTTCCTGAAACACAGAAACAGAGGACACAGCAGGCACAGCCGAGACAAGACACTTAACATGACAAGATAAGCTCCAAGACATTATTGTCCCTTCTACCCAGTTAATTTGGGGATTATGCTGTGTTATGAGGGATGCCCTAAAACGATAGGCGTTAGGGGAGAACGAAAAATAAAAAAAGAAATTGTCTCTTGGTGGTTGCCAGCGGAACGGTGGCTCAAACGATCTTGGAGAGGATGCGACCATCCAGGGCATAGATGGTGGGAGGGTCATTTAATTCTAGAAAAGGAATGTTGTGATCGATAGCCCAGCTCTCATCCATTCCCTTCAGCCATCGAATCAACAAAGGCCGCACAGGGAAAAGTGGAGCCTCCACAGCGTAGGCAGGCACTGAGGCAGGTACGTGTCTTGTGAGATGGGGAAAAGTTAGTCGCGCTCACCAGTACTCCCCGGTCTACTAGCAAGCCCTCTCTTTTACTGGACATCTTGCGGCGAAATGCCCCGGAGCACAATACATACAGATACCCCCCGTAATGTGGCGCTGACGCACCTCAGCAGAGATATGCAGACCCCCTAGCTGCATGGTACAAATGAGGCCACTACTGGAGGTGGAACGGCAGGCAAAACCATCCGTTGACGGTGAGTCTCAAAGCGCTTGTCGATCTGGTTGGCCAGTTCCACCAGCTGGTCCAAGCCGGATGGCAGATCACGGGCGAGAATCTCCTCCCTTATCTCCCCTGAGAGACCCTCCAAGAAGCGCGCAGTGAGGGCCGGCTCGTTCCACTCACAAGTGGCCGCTAGGGTGCAAAACTCGATTGCATAATCGGCAGCAGGCCGCTTCCCCTGGCGAAGTGTTGCAAGTTGTCGAGACGCCTCAAGACCATAAACAGAGCGGTTGAACACCTTTATCATCTCCTCCTTAAATAAAGAAAAACGCTCACAGCAGTCGGCCTCAGACTCCCACACTGCCGTTCCCCAGTAACGAGCCCGCCCAGTCAGGAGAGAGAGCACAAAAGGGACCCTGGAGCAATCCTCAGCATATGTTATAGGTTGGAGGGAAAAAACCACCTCACACTGCGTCAAAAAGGCTCGGCACTCAGTGGACTGTCCAGAATAGCAAGGAGGATTGTTTGTGAGGTTCTGGAGAGTTAACATCGGCTGCTCAGGGTGCAGATTCTGCAGCAGATTAGTTAAATCCATCACCTGGGCTGACAGGCTCTCCACGGCGTACCTGGCGGTGGTGAGTTCCTCCTCGTGTCGGCCCAGCATAGCCCCCTGCAGCTCCACTGCTGAACGAATTGGAGTCTCCTTCGCTGGGTCCATCCTTTTGCCAGATTATTCTGTCACGATAAAACAAAGGCAAGTCAAACAGAGTATTTATTGTCCACAAAAACAAACTTAGGCAGTCTGCGATCACTGGCTGTATCCGGCGTACGCAGAACTTGACTTTAACTCAGGAGCTGACTTGAGTGTTTGGGGTGCCACCCCGGGCTCCAGAGCGAGGATCGACTACCTCTCAGACAGTACGGACCAGAGGACAGCGTCCAGAGGAGAGCAAATTGCTGGCAGCGGGTAACTGGGAGACTGGGCAGAAATCCAGGTAAGTCACACGATAGGACACGAATAGCGAACAGCTGAGTCTAGGATAGCGCAGCACGAAAAAGAAAAGAAAAGAAAACTCCATGTATGCTAATACTACTGAAACTAAAACTTAAATAAAAATTAATAAAAACTATATAGACATTAAAAAAAACTAATAAAAATGGCAAAACACACAACTAAATTACTTTATTACAGTACGGACCAGAGGACAGCGTCCAGAGGAGAGCAAATTGCTGGCAGCGGGTAACTGGGAGACTGGGCAGAAATCCAGGTAAGTCACACGATAGGACACGAATAGCGAACAGCTGAGTCTAGGATAGCGCAGCACGAAAAAGAAAAGAAAAGAAAACTCCATGTATGCTAATACTACTGAAACTAAAACTTAAATAAAAATTAATAAAAACTATATAGACATAAAAAAAAACTAATAAAAATGGCAAAACACACAACTAAATTACTTTATCGGTATTAAAATGTTACCTAAAATTTAAATAAAAATAGAACATTGAAAAATAAAAACAAATTCAACATACTAATGAAAACTGTAAGATATAAAATACCACCAGCCTGGACATGCAATGCTGTAGCTTGAATTTCTTTCCATGTATGTTTAATGCACTGGGGAGTGATGATTTAAATCATCTAAAAAGGCCTTCAGAGAAGAGTAATATTGATTGCAACAAAGAAAGACGTTTCGATCTCACTCCATTATGTGTCAGACGTGTCGACAGTAAACAGACGCGAGTCTGCCTTTTTCACAGAGCTAAAACTTCAAAGAGCTTCAGTTTTAAACACAGAGAGCATCTGCATTCATGCGGTATTATTCCTGTTTTAACTGGCTAGAAGGCTTCCATTACAGAGATTGGTGTAGAGCCACCTGTCACATCTGAGGAGCAAAACAGAGACGAGTGATTATACTGAATAAATAAGTTCATTAGCGCCTGGTAATGCTCGGCTGCCTACTGCCACGCTCATTCACAACATTCTTTTTCACAAGCTGGCGTGAACCTCCACACTAAGCATATGACATGAAGATGGTCCCTATGCGCACTGATGTCAAGGTCAGCAGCATGCATTCAGGGACACGAGGACCTTTATTAGCATCTCATTGCATTTGCCCAATTGTGATGCTGTGGTCGCATTTGCTGCATTGACATAAATGTTCAATGTTGAAATGTCCTAATGAATGAAATGCAATAAAAACAAAATGCAAAAAACAAGTGACCTCAACAACGTGTTGGTATTTCAGGAGACAGACCTGGAAATTAATTATTTGGGAATAATTCCTTTCATAATTAGCCCCGCTGAGCAGGACCGTCGCCAGTGGGGAAAAAGGTGGTGACAATTAAAGCCCCCCCCCGGCAATTTCAACTGACTGCCTGAGGCCAGCATGAAAGATACTCAGGACAGCTGATGGGCCACTGCTGCATGTCGTCATGAAAGCTTATCACGTGTTTTTAAGCTTTGTCAATTTAAAAATTGAAGAGATTGTAAAGCATTCAAGCACAAGAAGACGCGAATGAACTGAGTACTTGCGCGCTGTTTTCGGTACGCATACAGAGATCCGCGTCTCAGACAGTGAACACGAAATTGAGTTTTCCATCTTCCGTCTTGGCAAGAATCTTCAAAACAACTGGTAGTTATGTCTTAAGTGAACGTAAACAGTTGAGAAAGAAATCAGGGCCCATATTTATCAAGCCTCTGAGAATTACTCTCAAGAACATTGCTAAGAATTTACTTAAGTTTAAAAAACTTCTTGGCTCTAAGCTGCGCTTCAGAGTTAGTTATCAAGTATCTCAGTTTTAATTTAAGCGATGTGTAGGACTAAATCTTAAGTGTCAGCCTTAGAGTTGATTCACGACACTTTGTTGTGCCACAAACGGGATTTTGGAAGACGAAACACGCATGGACCAATCTCTGAATAGATTTCCTTATTTAAGAATATTCTCAGATAAATTCACATTGAATGGTTAAATTCCTAATAGGAGTTTACATTCAAGACACATTTGACAATAAAGAATTTTCAAGAGAATACATTATGGTAAGGAAATTAATTGTCATCACAAACTTAGTAGCCAGGATCAGCTCTGGTGGCCGTGTCGGAGCCGTAACACAACCCAGACATGTGCAGTGTAAATAAGGGGTAAGAGATTTATCATAGACTGTATTTATTCATGATACAGTGTAGGTAGCTTCACTGATTATAATGGGAGTGTTTTTAAAGAGCATATAATACTTGTGCTAGACTGAAGTCAGTTAAGATGTTCTTTGGGAATGTAAATATTATTTGCTCGTTACTGTTTGAATAACTGAGGAAATGTAAATGTTTTATTAACTGCTCGTCGTCAAACATTTCAAGAACATTCTTCCTCTCCTGAAAGATTCGCGCACGTCTCTGTCTCCTCAGCGCCATCACAAGCCCCTACTGGCAACTCCTAACCACTTGAGAGACCTAGCTCTCGAGCTGTCTTAAATAACTGCGAGAGTAAGAGTGATTCTTAGCTTTAAGAAATATGATAACTTGCTTTTATACTTAAGTTTGAAAGTAGGATTAGATGTAATGAATTATCAACACTTAAGACTAAAATGGCACTTTAAGAAGCTTGATAATTACGGGCCCAGATGTATATCATTATTTTGAATCCATGCATTGTGTCTTAAAGGGTCTGTGCCTACTTTACTAGCTGCTGTTGGTGTCCTTAATGTTAATCCCAAAGAAAAAAAAAAAAAAGAGAGAAAATCACTCACTGCTCTTGACTGAATTACTTAGTAGTTTCAACAAGAATGAACCTGTATTTAATACAGTCAAGACTATGCAATGCTATTTTAGATTAGATTTTTCAGTTTCTCTACCTGAACAACTACAAACCTGAAAAAAATACTTTGTCTTTGTTCTATTTAGTTATTTGTGCTTTCAATTTCAAAGAGGGCCCACGGGTACAACCTGCATCGGGGGCCCCGCAAACCCCAGCTTGGCCCTGCCACTGAGGGCATTTTTTTTAGGCTAATAAAGAAACATTGTGGTGTAAAATAATTATCACGGTCAGCAGAGAACAAGACGCACTGGAAAGGCCACAGACAAACTGTAAAAAGATACTAAAGTATATTTTAGTTGCAACCTTGGTGCAAATGTGTGCATGTGACTTTTTTGGACATCTTACACTCGATATCCAGGAACATGCTCTTCTGATGGCCTCCGATCCTGCTGAGAGCTTCACAGTCGAATCGGCCCCAGTCTGACAGTCGAACCCCACTGATAGTCAGCATGGATTTTCCTTGGCGTCCTCGCACTTCCACACGGCCGTCCTGACTCTAAACCAACACAAGCACAACAATCCACATTAGCCACTGACACCCACATACAGACAAACACAATCCACTGTGATTTACTATTACAATTTACTAGGTGTTTGCTAGGGCACATCTATATGGTTACTAGAGTGTTCCAAGTAGTTGCTAGAGTGTTACTATGTAGTTGCTAGGGTGTTTTAAGAGTTTGCCAGGGCATACAGTATGGTTACTAAGGTGTTCTGAGTAGTTGCTAGGGTGTACAGTATGAGTGATTTTAGAGTGATGATATGCGGTTGTTCAAGGTGTTCGCTAAAGCATTGCTATATAGTTACTAAGGTGTTCTGAGTATAATAAATATTAATATATACAATTTACACAAACACACAGCCAAAGGTGCATGTGAACACAAGCAAATTAATATAAACTACAGAATAAAATTAAAAAATCACTGCTTTAGTTAGTTTAGTACATCAGGTTAAACTGTATGAAAATGAGAAATATTGCCTTGGCAACTAGCTGAAAAAAAGTTTTATTATATTTATTTAATTTCAAGTATCAATAATGTTTTTTTTTATTTATTTTAACCCAAACAGAATCATATTAGCAATCCGAGGAAAACAGCAAACTGAGTAGGTTATACATTCAGGGCATACAGTATGGTTACTAAGGTGTTCTGAGTAGTTGCTAGGGTGTACAGTATGAGTGATTTTAGAGTGATGATATGCGGTTGTTCAAGGTGTTCGCTAAAGCATTGCTATATAGTTACTAAGGTGTTCTGAGTATAATAAATATTAATATATACAATTTACACAAACACACAGCCAAAGGTGCATGTGAACACAAGCAAATTAATATAAACTACAGAATAAAATTAAAAAATCACTGCTTTAGTTAGTTTAGTACATCAGGTTAAACTGTATGAAAATGAGAAATATTGCCTTGGCAACTAGCTGAAAAAAAGTTTTATTATATTTATTTAATTTCAAGTATCAATAATGTTTTTTTTTTATTTATTTTAACCCAAACAGAATCATATTAGCAATCCGAGGAAAACAGCAAACTGAGTAGGTTATACATCGTTACACAAGAGCAAACGAGCTACAAAGAGAATAGATGTCTGTGGTGCAGCACTTTCTGACTGTAATGTGGTCACACTATCTGTGCTCGTGGTGAGATAGGGAACTTTGAATATAAGGGGATTAGATGGAGCCCATTTCCCAACGCCCACTTTAATGATCAGTGTTCTTCACCTTCCCTGAAAAATCGATATGTGTCCACCCTCCGCATGATGTCTCTGAGTCTAGAGTGCAGTGCAAGCTTAACCGCCTGACAGTCCTGCAGCGGCTGTGTGTTTTATTTGACAGGGGCCATTTTTGTAGGCTAGCAGATGACCCGAAGGTTTTCCTTCCTTCACACTAATGCATGCGATTAATGTTTACACGGACAGTGAGAACTGACACACCTGCGACTGGAGAACATGACACAAACACACATGAAAACATGATTACTGACGAAATATGAGTTTGCCTGTGTGTTGTGGGTAGTTACAAGAGCATTGCTATGCGGTTGCTAGGGTGTTATGAGTAGACTTCATTGTGTTGCTATGTGTGTGTTGCTATGCAGTTGCTAGGGTGTTCTACTGTAGGTGTCAGCAAGGGGATATCTAAATGGTTACTAAGGTGTTCAGAATAGTTGCTAAGGTGTTGATAGTTGGTTGCTAGGTTGTTCTAAATGTCTTCAAGGGGATATCTATATGGTTACTGGGGTGTTATGAGTGGGTATTGATACACTGTTCTGCGGTTGCTAGGATGTTGTACAGTAAGTGTTTGCTATCAACACTACTACTAGTGATGACTAAATTAGTAAACAGCACAGCACATATTTTTTATTCAAAAACACATTCACAAATATACAACCAAAGGTGTGTGTGAACACAAACACATGAATATAAACTATAGAATCCATAACAAACATCCCTGCAGAAAAACGACAATGAATCCACCTTTCTGACTGAACAGATCTACGTAATAAACAACTAATAATAGCAGTTGCCAGAATCATATTTCTCATTCTGTGGTGTTATGACCTCCAAATACAAATTATATCGGAGAACTGGCCTGTAAGCAAATACCAGAAACTGAGCAGTGATGAATAGAAACTGCAGACACACACTGTCTCTATCTCTGTGTCTGTGTGTGTGTGTGTGTGTGAGACACCATCTCGCCTTGGGTAGATGCTTCCTGACTGTTTGATATGCTACTGAGATCTCTGTGACACGAAAGAGCCACAGCACACTGAGAGAGAAAAGAGGACTACAGAGGAGCAAATTGACAGACAGACAGATATAGATAGATAGACGGACAGACATACTGATTGACAGATGGCTGTTCTGGAGACATTTAATTTGGCACATGTGATTTATCAAGACAACTCAATGCTGTTCTCATGCGTATCATACTCCTGCTGTACAGTGTGTGTCCACCATCAAGCGCAATTACAGGATGCTGTTCTGCTAGAGGGAAATGAGTGGAAACGGGAGGCGTGGCCAAAACAGAAGGGTAAACACAAGTGATTATATACACAATGCTGAGCAAGACTTTGAGGAGCTGTCATGTGTCCTGTGATGATGAAATCATTAGAAATGCTGTTTGTGCTAATGATTATGAAACAGGAAGAGCTACACAATTACTGTACTGCACAATACTGCACTTAGGTTTGGAACAACATGAGAGTGAGTAAATAATGACAGAGTTTTCGTTTTTGGCTAAACGGTCCTTTTAAAGGTATAATTCAGCCCAAAATGAAAATTTGCTGTTCACAATCAGGCCATCCAAGAAGTAGATGACTTTTTTTATTCAGAACAGTAGAGAAGATGTTTAGCTGAAATCGTGGTCCTTGGTGATGCATAAAATGCAAGTCAATGGCTACCAGCATTTTGAGTGTCAAAAAACCAACACAAAATTATTCTCCTGGTGATATTTTGAGATCTTATGAAGCGAATTAAACATTTGAACTAAACATTATTTACAACATTATTACCTGTAATCCATAGCTTCAGGCAAACGGGGGAGTCTGATTATTTTCTGCAAACAGGTTCTTATGGACAGTTTATTTCAAAGACACTGGTTCAAATAACTGATTGACCAGTTCGTTTACATCATCACACAATGATGTTGTGCATATGCAGTTGAACTGCACTGTTTGAATTCATTAAATTAGTTAATTCATCATATGATCATATACGCCCGCATATTGGCTCATTTTGAGTCGGAGTGCCTGTTGGATGTCCGAAAGTGAGTTTCGATTGAGTAACCTGTAGATCTGTGCTGTTCAAGTGAAGAATTGTTTTAGACGGTTCAGTCCCATTAGGTGAACTGGTTTATCTTGTTCACTAAAAAGAACCAGTTCGAAAGAATAATGTCCAGTTTCTTGCACTGACTGATCTTTTCACTTCAGTATATTGTCAGGAGCCGCGGGTATTAATTTTGTGTTGCTTTTTTGACTTGCAAAGTGACAGTAGCCATTGATTTGCATTTTATGAATCACCAGATCATTGGTTCAGCTAAAAATCTTATTTACTATTATGTTGAAGAAAAAAGTCACCTACATCTTGGATGGCCTGAGGGTAAGCAAATTAACAGCAAAGTTTCATATTTGAGTGAACTACCCCTTTAAAGGAACAGTTCAGCTAAAAATGAAAACTCTGTCATTATTTACTCACTCTCATGTTGTTCTGAATGATAATAGTGATCTTCAGTTTTTGGGTTATTTGTATCAGAGCTGTGTGTTATTCACCTTATCTCCATCTGTGAATGTCTGTCCATCACTGGCTCTCCTCCATGAGATCTCCGGCAGTGGTTCTCCCTCAGCTGTACAGGATATCATAGCAGCATTTCCCTCCACCGCTGTCACATTCCTCAGCTGAGTGATGTGAGGCTGGACTGAATAGACAGACAGACAGACAGGAAGTTCAGCAAACAGCTTTAAGTCAGATGTTTATTTTAGAGAGTAATTTCTTTGAATTACATCTCAATATGCACTAAACATAATGTTCTGTCTGATAAAGGACATCAGATCTATACTTAAACAGACTCAGTTTCTCATTCTCATTTTAGAAATAAATAAGAGAACAAAATAACATATTCTGTTTTGATTAAGTCTTTTGTTTGTTTGTTTGTTTGTTGTTTTTGCACTTTTTTCAGCAGAATTAAGCATGCAATACATTATATTTAAAAGTCATTAATTTTACATATTTTTTGTAGTTAAATTCTGCTATTCACCATGCCATAAACAGAAATGTCAAATTTTACAGTTAGTGTAAATTTGTCTGTCTACTGCTGTCATTTTAACTGTGATACAGTGCAAACAAACAAAAAAGAGTCAATTATAATAATTACAAATAACTGAACAGAAATCAGAAATTTTAATGTATACATGCTTTTATTTATCACATAAATAATTAATATTATGATTAAGTCTTTTGTTTGTTTGTTTGTTTGTTGTTTTTGCACTTTTTTCAGCAGAATTAAGCATGCAATACATTATATTTAAAAGTCATTAATTTTACATATTTTTTGTAGTTAAATTCTGCTATTCACCATGCCATAAACAGAAATGTCAAATTTTACAGTTAGTGTAAATTTGTCTGTCTACTGCTGTCATTTTAACTGTGATACAGTGCAAACAAACAAAAAAGAGTCAATTATAATAATTACAAAGAACTGAACAGAAATCAGACATTTTAATGTATACATGCTTTTATTTATCACATAAATAATTAATATTATAAAAAATTTTTATTTTCTTCATACCCCCCCCTCCCAATATGTAATGATAAAAACTTTTTTTTTATGAAGAATATTTTTCTTTTGCTCCGAATGTCTTTCCTGTAAGTGTTCAGCTGGAGGGTATCTTTAGCAGCACACGTTCACATCAGTAGGGTCTTGTTTTATGCTGAACTCACTGATAAACCCTATTAGAAGTGTGTGTGTCCCACCGATAAGCTGCTCTATGTGCCTTACTTAGTTTCCCTCTAAACACCAGTGGAGTGGAGGGCAAACAAGCCCACGGTGAGGTTCATGCATAACAGCCGCTCCTGCTCTCTTTAAGAGAATCGCACAGAGCACCGCTGAATAAATCCATGCTGGAATGAATGAAACCCAACAGAAACAGCTCTTCACAGTGTGGGCCTTTGAACAGCGTCTACAGAGATCAAGGAGATATTTGTAGCAGGAGACGCAGCAGAAACGCCCAGAGGCTGCAGCACACTCCAGCAAAGACAAACACATCGCAGTAGACGAGCGAGTCTGGAAACACGCCAGGAAATGTCAGTGTTGTATTGCTGATGAAAACACAAGCAGCATTTGCACAGAAGAAATTCGGCAAAAGAGGTTGCCAAAGCGTTGTTAAGGTGTTCGGATATATACAGTGCTTAACAAATTAATTAGACCACCTGTCATAATAAAGAGAGAAAACAAATATGTTTAAGAAAATATTTTAAATATGTATTTTAGGAATCTGTCAAAAACTAATTTAAAACTAAAAATTGTATTGCCATTTATTAGGCAAATAACAAACTGAAACAACTAAATAGTCTTTACTCACACATAATAACCAACAAACTAAAACTATATTTTATTATGTATGGCCACCTTTGGCTTTGATAGCGGCTTCTTGCTGGCATTGTTTTTATGTACTTTTCCACAGTTTCTGTTGTTATTCACTTCCAAATATTTTCTAGTTGTTCCCAAAGACTTGCCTTTGAATACATGTTGTGTGATATATTTTGAATCTATTAAATCCTAACAAGAAGTATATTTTAGCATTAGAGACACTGGGTGGTGGTCTAATAAATCTGTTAAGCACTATATATATATATATATATATATATATATATATATATATATGCACACACACACACACCATTTTATCAGGATCTGTATTAGTCAGTGTTACTTTAGTATTATTGTTACTGTGGCAGAAAAATAAACGAGTTGTCCCTGTGTTGCCGCCAGCCAATAGAAATGTGAACACAACTCAGAAGGAAGTGATGTAATCCTATAAATACCTTTGTAAAAATACACGGAAGGTGTGGGAAAAGGCGGGAAGGTGGAGCGTGGAGCGTGGAGCGTGGAGCGTGGAAGGTGAAGACGGTGAATGCGGTGAATGCGAGTACCGGTATGGACAAACACGCAGCTCTATCCGCGGGGCGCACGCGGTGTAGTATGCTGGTGCGGTTGCCGGAGTGTTCCGAAGAATGTATTCTCCGAGCTATGGACAACAGTGCAGAGCGTGTGTAACTTCAGAAGTCGCAGAAGTATGTGTTAGTCCGGATACCTGTTTTCCCGGAAATATCCAACTCCGATTCGTCACCCAAAACTGTCTTCCACAGTTGCCAAGAGTAGCGGTTCAGCTGGACGGCTTGACTGACTCACGCACACACCCCAAACACTCACCAACACTTTTGCCACACACCCTCATTCACATCTATCGCCATTTGGCGTGTGAGTATATACACATCTTTAAGACAGTGAGAAGTTGCTGAATTAATTTTGTTTGCATTTTTCCCTTTATTGTTTTCTTTGAAATACTTTTGCATGGAGAATTGGACTCTTGAAACTGCTGATTTGAACAAGGAAATCGAGTGGATCCGCATCATATTCGCCATCTCAACTATTATTTTGATGTTACAAAGTGAAAAGTGTGCAGAACATTTTAGTTGTTTTTCTTTGTATTTGTGAAAATATAATTGGAACCACAACTAAAACCTGGCTACTGTGCATTCTTATTAATTTTTATTGTGCATTTAATATCTTATCTTTTGACTAAAAAGTGTAAAGAGGTTTAATTTGTGTATGTAACCGGTGGCTTTCTTTTTTAGCTCATTTGGGTTTATCTAAATTTAAATTGATGTTTACTCCCGTCTTCCTCCTACCACTTTATAGCCTCCTCTCCCCAGCTCAACCAATAAGAAACTAGAGAAGACAAAAGAAAGATAAGACAATATGAGCACTGATATTTATTTGAGGACTCTGGGCCGAGGCGTACGCGAGGCAATTACAGTATACTGAAAAAATGCATCAGGGGTAACAAATGCACTAATTTCTTTGGCATGCGGAGTTAAAGCGACTACTGTCGCTTTAGCAAACTCGCATTTAGCCAAATTAACAGTTAGATTTGCCTCAGTCAGCCTCTGAAATACTTTTTTTAACTGATTGATGTGCTCGTCCCATGTTGCAGAGTGAACAACTATGTCGTCCAAATACACCTCACACCCCGGCACCCCCCACAAAACGCGGTTAACTAACCGCTGAAAAGTAGCAGGCGCATTGCGTACCCCAAAAGGCATTACAGTATACTGTAAAAATGCATCAGGGGTAACAAATGCACTAATTTCTCTGGCACGCGGAGTTAAAGGCACCTGCCAATAGCCTTTAAGGAGGTCTAACTTTGTCAAAAATGCTGCTGACCCCACACGGTCAACACAGTCCTCCATGCGAGGAAGAGGATAATAATCAGGCTAGTGACATTGCTAACCTTCCTAAAGTATGTACAAAAACGGTCAGACTCATCAATCTTGATAACAAGAAGACATGGTGAACTACATGAACTAATACTGGATTCCGCAATGCAATGTGACAACATATAGTTAACTTGGTTTTGGAGGCGCTGACATTTTTCTGGGTTGACACGGTACGGGTGCTGTTTAATCGACGTGTTGTCACCAACATCGATGTCATGCTGCAATACGTGTGTTTGGGACGGCACATCTGAAAACAACGAAACATGACAATTGATTAACATTACTACTGTACATTAATCTGTACGCTGTGAACAGGGGAGATGCAAAAAACAAGAATCAAGATTAGCAAACATCTCAGACTTCTTTAAACGGCCCTGAATTGTAGCGACAGAAGGACTCTCAATGTCACAACCAATTTCAGGAGCAGACAGCGACTCACAGGCCTCAAGGACAGTTTCAGCACCGAGTGGTGACACAGAAGGATCACATACTTGCAAAGCGTTAGACAGAGGCGAACATAAAGCTGGAGAACACTCAACATTGGTCAAGGCCAGGACTGTGTTTACATCACCCAGAGCTAGGTTTGTTCAGCTGTTCACGATCATAATAAGGTTTAATCATATTGATGTGGCAAAGTCTGCTACGACGTGCACAGTCAGGAGTAGCTACAATATAATCCCTGTCACTGACTCTCTTTTTTATGACATAGGGGCCACTATAACGTGCCTGAAGGCTGGAACCAGGGATAGGCAAAAACACCAGAACTTTATCCCCAGGCTTAAACTGTCTGACCATGGCCTTTTTATCAAACCAGCCTTTCATCTTGGACTGAGCAGCAAACACATTTTGTGTAGCCAGCTCACAAGCACAGTGTAACTTGTAGCGAAAAGAGCTGACATAATCAAGCAGATTTTGCGGTTTGGACTCATTCAAAGCAATTCTCCCGAAGCAGTTTTAAGGGACCACGCACATTATGAGCAAACACTAAATCTGCTGGGCTGAAACCAGTAGACTCCTGCACAACTTCCCGAGCTGCAAACAGCAAAAGATGTACACCATCGTCCCACTCTTTTTCAAATTCAAGGCAATAGGCACAGAGCATGGATTTAAGAGTTTGATGAAACCTTTCCAGTGTGCCCTGACTTTCCGGGTGGTAAGCGCTTGAAAAACAGTGGGTGATGTTCAGCAGATCGGCCACCTGTGCAAAAACATGATACATAAAATTTGTCCCCTGGTCAGTTTGAATTACCTTAGGGAGTCCAAACAATGAAAATAAATTAACGTGTGCTTTTACAACCGCAGGTGCAGTGATTTTACACATAGGTATAGCTTCGGGAAATCATGTTGAAGCACACATAATGGTCAGTAAGAACTTTGCTGCCAGATTTAGTACGGGGCAATGGACCCACACAGTCAACAATAATATGATCAAATGGTGAATCAACAGCTGGAATAGGATATAAATGGTATGGTGGGATGGGTGGGTTTGACTTTCCAGATATTTGACATGTGTGACATGTTCTACAGTGTAACTTCACATCCCGTTTTAACCCTGGCCAGAAAAACTGGCGCAAGATACGATTGTAAGTTTTGGTAACACCTAAGTGACCACCTAACGGATTGTCATGTGCCAGACTGAATATTTCATTTCGAAACTTGTTTGGAACAACAACTTGTGTGACAATGCTCCAGTCATCCTGTGTGGATGCATAAGATGGTGTCCACTTACGCAGCAGGACATAATTTTTAAGAAAATAGCCAGATGCCATGTCTGCAAGCTCATTCTCAGAGACAACCAATTCAAATAAAGAGACGATGGACTGATCACGCTTCTGCTCAGAAATCAAATGTTTCCGGGACATGTGCGTGCCACCAAAGCTCTCCAATGGCTTCTTCAGCTCTAACACAGTATGGAGCGAACTGTGCACGCCACCTTCACACGGGATCAGAGACTGTAGGTGGAAGACACGCGACAGAGTTAATATTAGGGGATAATTTAGACTCTATATCAGGATCTATCATAAAGCTAATCTCTAAACCATCACACTCTAAAACATTAGCTTTGGCCATAGCACGCGTGACAGCACACACAGGAAATACTGTGGGATATTTAATCTGCAATTCATCAGGGCCTTTAGAGACAAGGGGCACAGTAGTAACCTCTGGATTTACTAGAATTTTACCCCCAGCCAAATCATTGCCTAAAAGGAAATCCACTCATTTAATGGGAAAAACGGTGCACGCAGCCACCGCAGCTGGACCAGACACCAGGTCCGACTCGAGCTGAATGGTGTGCATGGTCAAATTAACAAACTTCATTCCAAAACCCTGCACCAGCTCACCGCAGCTTAAGGAGGTTTTATCTGAAAGAGGCAACACACTTTGAAGAATAATAGACCTAGAAGCAGCAGTATCACGTAGAATAGTTACTGGGACTTTTATGCAGCTGTCTGGCAATGAAACTGCACCCTTCATAATAAAAGGGGAATAAATGGCCAAGTCCATACATTCAGATTGAGGGGGCTGCGGTGCTGTAGATGTTTTGACCAACACAACTGCCTTAGGTTTCTTTTTATTCAACAGAAAACAGCTGTTGATTAGACGGCCATGCTTTTTACAGTAAGCACACACAGGCCTCGCCTTAGCTGTACCGTCTTTAGGACTGACATGCTCACCAAAGTGAGCGTGTGTAAAGGGACCACGCTGCGACAGAGAAAAGGGCGGCCTTTCAAAGCTCTCTTTGTGGATCAGAACATATATATCAGCTAATATCGCAGCAGCAGACACATTAGTGACTTTTTGTTCATTTAAGTATGTTGCAATTTTGTCTGGTAGACAATTTTTTAATTCCTCCATGAGAATTAAATAACGAAGCTGCTCAAAGTTCTTCACCTGTTGTGTAGAACACCAGCGATTCTCACGACCAAATTCAACATAACTTTGGCCCTCGGCTTTCTTATAACGTCTAAACTTTTGCCTATAAGCCTCAGGAACCAACTCATAAGACATTAGAACTGCAGACTTCACCTGGTCATAATCTAAACTTGCCTCAGGTGAGAGAGAAGCATACGCCTCCTGGGTTTTACCCGTAAACACACACTGCAGAAGGAGAGGCCAAACCTGTGTAGGCCACTTTAAGGGCTTTGCTACCTGTTCAAACAGCACAAAATATTTGCCAACATCTCTCTCAGAAAAAGGTGGGTTTAAACAAATGCATTTATTAACATCAAAATCCAAAATCCAAAACAATGTCTCCATAGTAGCAGAATCCCTGCTCAACTGTCTAGCTCTAACGCGGACTGATTCACATCTTCCTGTCTCCTCTATTTCAAATTTACGCAGCTCAAACTCATGCTGGAGCTCTTTTTCATTGAGCTCTAAGCGCCGCATTTCCACCTGTAACTCCAGTTTACGCAGCTCAGGATCGGGATGCGTAACAGCATGTGAAGGTACAACGCTGACAGGAGGGAGAAGCTTTCTTTCAGCTAACGCAGTGTGCAATTGATACTTAATATCTTGTTTTTTATCTTGTTTTGAAATAGGCACGTTGAAATGAGCAGCAATAGAGAACGTACTCGGTTACTAATGTAACCTTGGTTCCCTGAGATATGGGAACGAGTACTGTGTCTTGCTAGATGCTTATGGGAAAAAGCCTTTTTTCTCCTGAACTGAAACCTTTTTTCATTTATGCAGTGAAACTGCTCGGCCATTGGTTCATGCAGTGTATTAAAAATGAACAGCTAGACAGCGAAGCTGCACGAGCCTATGGCGACGAAACCCGCCAAAGCCTGCCAAAGCCTGCCAGAATGGGCAGGGCATCTGGCTATATAAGTGGGCGTTCGCAACAGGATTCCAGGACAGAGTTTGGGCACCCCTGATCTAGAGAGTCTTTGCTTCGTAACTGGAAGTCCTTAGGTGCGGTTACCGAACCTGACAAAGAGTTGTTCCGACTGCCTATAGGGGGCGGAACGCTCAATATATATTATCAGAGCTCTAACAGGGCAGAGCAGTGATAGCTCTCGGTCTTCTTCAGTTGGAGGAACCGCGAAGAGCGTAATGACCTGTGCTCTGAACAGAGTGGAGAGCACCTTAAGTACGTAACCGTGCCTTGGTTTCATGATGAATTTAGTGTCGTTAGGCCCAAATTCCAGGCAGGCAGGGCTACTAGAGAGCTTGAAAACTGAGTCTTCAGCGATAGTAACCGAATGTTGGCAGACTGTAGCGGCTCGAAAGCAGGGCCCTTCAGGGCCCTCAGCACAGTGGGCAGATCCCATGAAGCATGAGAGGCCGCTATAGCCGCCACATAGACTTTGAGCGTGGATGGGGAGCGTCCCTTATCCAGCAGCTCTTGCAGAAATGACAATACCTCTGTCAAATCGGAAGTATGAGGGTCTTTGCCGTGGTTTAGACACCAAGTGGAGAAAAAAAGACCACTTTAAGGCATAGAGGCGTCTCGTAGACTGGGCTCTAGCCTCCGAAATTGTGTTTACGACTTGCTCTGGGAGGCTTGAAGGCTCCAGTCGAGTGGCCAGAGGTGCAGGGCCCATAGGTCGGGCCGAGGATGCCATATTGTCCCGTTCGCTTGAGTGAGGAGATCCTGTCTCAGCGGAACAGGCCAAGGGCCGCTATCAATAGCTGAGTTAGCTCTGATAGCCACAGATGGTTCATCCAAGGGGGGGCCACCATGAGAACCTTGTGTTTTTGTTCCCTTACCTGTGGTATCAGAGCGATCGGGGGAAAAGCATAAAGAAGGAGGTTGGGCCAATTGTGGGTCTTGGGGCCTGGTCTTTGAGAAATAAATTGGGCAGTGAGAGTTGTCTTCTGAGGCAAAGAGGTCCACCTCGGCCTCGCCGAAGATCTCCCAGATCCTCTGAACCATATGTGGATGGAGCGTCCACTCCCCTGAGGGGACATTGCTCCTTGATAGCACGTCCGCTCCTTGGTTCAATTTGCCCGGTATATGCGCTGCTCTCAGCGAGCGCAGGTTGAGTTGAGACCATTCCAAGAAGCGTTCTACCAGAGTGAAGAGATGGTGATTTATGTAGGACACCACAGACATGTTGTCCGATCAGATTAGCACATGATGCCCCTTTAGGACTGGCAGGAAGAACTGACAGGCTCGACATACTGCTACCATTCCCAGGCAGTTGACGTGGAAGCCTTTTTCCGCCTTCGACCAGTGGACGAAAGTTGGTATGCCCTCGCACAGCGCCCCCCAACCTCAGTTGGAGGCGTCTGTCATGACAGCTGTCCTTCTGCAAATCATCCCCATGGCCACGCCCTGTTCCATCCAGCAGGAGTTCTTCCAGGGGGCCAGGGCTGTTACACAGGTATGACTCACCCTGATCTGCAGGCATCCGTGACGCCACGCATGGGACGGAACCCGTGGTTTCAACCTGCGCTGAAGGGTGCACACACGAAGCAGACCAACTGAAACACTGGCGATGCTGCTGCCATGAGGCTCAGCATCCTCTGAAACGCTTTGAGAGGGCGAGTGGAACCAACCTCGAAGGAGGTCGCCAGCCTCCGTATGGCCAGAGCTCGTTCTGGCGCGACTACAGTTCTCCTTTGGGCTGAGTCGAAAATTGTTCACAGGAACGATATTCGCTTGCTGGGGAACAGCGGGCTCTTGGCAAAATTGACCCTGAGTCCCAGGCACTCCAGGTGGCTGAGCAGGAGGGTCCTGTGTGATATTAATTCTGCCTCCGACTGGGCCGGAATGAGCCAGTCGTCGAGGTAATTGAGAATGCGGATTCCCATCTGTCTCAGAGGGAAGAGAGCTGCGTCCATGCACTTCATAAAAGTGCGGGGGGCCAGGGACAGCCTGAAGGGAAGGACCGAACATTTCCTTGCAGAAGACAGGAGGTCCAATCAGAATAATCAGTTTGTGAATTTGCTCAGTAGCTTCATGAAAGCAGAAATTGAATGCGGGTCCTATAAAGAACTTGCTGGAGTGTTTCATGATAAATGAACAGTCTTTCATTTCTCTGAAATGAATTTTGAGATAGCGGCACATTTACTGCATTGCCGGCATGACCAAAGACGCATCGCTTCATTTTCTTCAAGAGAATGTGAGTTGAAAGCAACTAAATGGAAATAGAAAAGTAGAATCGTCTGTACCGCCGTCATGAGGAAATACTTCCTCTGAGATGCTACAACAAAAACACCTTATAAAAATCAAACAAATGTATAAAAGATCCAAATGTTTCCTCACCGAACACTTTGAGGAAGAGCTGACTCTCGGAGCTCCCGGCCTTGTTGCTCGCACGGCAAGTGTACGGCCCTCCGTCCCCCTGCCGGATGTTTTTAATGGTCAGCGTGCTTTTGCCCCCATCCAGTGTGCTTAACACATACTGCTCTGATCGCTCGATCACATTACCCTTCCTGTTGAAACAAACCATCATTGCTGAAAACACATCTGAAACTGATTAAACAGAATATAGAATATGATTATCTTACTCATTGAACGTCCCAGTTTAATTAGTGTGTAGAAATTAATTTGGAAGAAAAAAATCCATCTATCCACACAGTAATTAATTAGCAAATTCTACATGACTAAAAACAAATAAATATCTTATATTATGATAGGAGTAGTTTAATGGTAACAAATTATATTATATATACTGTACACTTCTAATTGTAATATATTGTAATATATATATATATATATATATATATATATATATATATATATATATATATATATATATATGATAAGTATAATATATATGATAAATATCAAATGCCTAATGTAATAAATATTGAGACCATGTGAACACATTCACTACTGTTCAAGTCTTTTTTTTAATGTTTTTGAAAAAGACTCTTCCACTCACAAAGCCTGCATTTATTTGAATAAAAATACAGTAATAACAGTAATATTGTGAAATATTATTACAAATCAAAATAACTAGCTATGTGAATATAATGTAAAATGTAATTTATTCATGTGATGAAATCTGAATTATCAGCATCATTACTCCAGTCTTCAATGTCACATGATCCTTCAGAAATCAATTTAATTTCTGAATGGCTGCTCAAGAAACATATCTGATTATCATCCATGTTAAAAACAGTTGTGCTGCTTCATATTTTTGTAGAAACCCTGCTATGATTGTCAGGATTATTTGATGAATAGAAAGTTCAAAAGAACATAATTTATTTGAAAATAGAAATCTTTTTCAATATTATAATTGTTATAAATTCAATCCATCCTTGCTGAATAAAATAATGAATTAAAATAATTCTGCTTAGTTAAACTAAGAGTTTCTGAGTTTAAGCTACAAAAAGTGCAGAGACAAAAGAGCAGTAACTATACAAATGAAGATCCATGTTGCTAACATTTCAATCACAATAACAAGGCCACAATTAAGCGCAGTGAACGCAGGTCTCTGTTCAGAGACACAATTAGCCGCTGGGCTATAAGAAAAACAAAGGAACACACAGGACCCAATTAGACTTCAACAAGCTAAACGGAGCTGTCATGAAGCGGAGGAACTCATGCAAACACAAGATCTTGCCAGTACATTCTGAGCCAAGAGTTCAAAAATAACAATTCTGTCATGATTTAAGCAGAGCCATTATTCAGTAAAAAATGAATGCGAACATCTGTTCAACATCTCCTTTTGTCTTGCACAGATGAAATATCATGAATCAACATGAGGGCGAGTTGTTTAAAGGGGATACAGAACAGATACAAGCAATAACTAATTAATGGCTGGAAATAATGATGACAAGTAACTAAAGCAGGCACTTCGGTAAAGTGACATTAACCTAACAAATCTATCTGATTGAGCATATAAAGCACAGTAGAGTACTGATGTTTATTATTCTGATTAATAATATTAATAACAATATTAATTCATTTAATGGTAACAACATAAACAAAAATATATTTTATTTATCGTATTTTAGGAAATGCAATGAATATATATATATATATATATATATATTTTAATATATTACATAATTTGGTAATGTTTATGTGTGAATGTGTTTGTAATATTGCAATTTACAAATACGTCAAAACATTTGTTTCAAAAAAAAAAAAAAAAAAAAAAAAAAAAAAAAATAAAAATAAATATATATATATTATAATAAAAAAAAAATATATTTTGAGGACTTTAAAAAGCATTAAAAATCTTACTGTTCAAAAACTTTTGACTGGTAGTGTATAGGCCTATCATATATACAGTATATTTAAATTAATCCAAAATGCCGCTGCAAGATTAATCTTTAATGAGCCCAAAAGAACATGTCACACCTCTGTTCATCAATTTGCACTGGCTACCAGTAGCTGCTCGCATTAAATTCAAGTCATTAATGTTTGCCTAAAAAAACACCACTGGCTCTGTCTGCACCCCTTTACCTAAATTCATTACTTCAGAGTTATGTGCCTTCTAGAATCTTGCGTTCTGCAAGTGAACGGTGTATTAATGTGCCATCTCAAAGAGGCACAAAATCACTTTTTTACTGACTTTTTCATTAACTGTTTCCTCCTGGTGGAATGACCTGCCCAAATCAATCCAAGCAGCTGAGTCCTTAATCATCTTCAAGAAATGACTAAAAACACATCTGTTCCACCTTTATTTGACCCTCTAACTCTAGCACTTTCTAATCTATTTTAGTTCTACTTTATCTATATTTATCTTCTTTATTTTTATAAAAATAAAAGCTTTCTACTTTTTCTATTCTATCACTGTGTGTGTATATGTGTGTGTGTATTATATATATATATATATACACACACACCTTGCTACGTGTACTGCGTTAGGCTAACCGAGACTTGCCACTTGCACTTATATATTGTTGGTGGTCACACCAGATACTGACTGCTTTTCGGACACCTGGGAGGTGGATGGATTATCTCGGGAAAGGAGAAGTGCTCACTAACACAGATTTGTGAACAATATTTGAGAGAAATAGGCCTTTTGTGTACATAGAAAAAGTCTTAGATCTTCGAGTTCAGCTCATGAAAAATGGGGGCAAAAACAAAAGTGTTTCGTTTATAATTTTGTTCAGTGTATTTTCATGTCTGATCAGGGTGATAACCGCCGTAGACATTGACACCGTAGACATTGAGGAGGGTTAGTACCCCCAATAATTATAAATCACTAAACCCTTTTCTCAAATATTGCCAATTCGAGAGAGAGACAGAGAGAGAGAGACAGAGAGAGATAGAAAGACATAGAGAGAGATAGAGAAATGAAAGTTACGTGTATGCGCATCTGTGCGTTTCCCTTTTTAGAGTGAGTTTACTTCAAAAACAGTGATTTTATCCTCTCGTTGCTGGAAAATATAATGTAGCAATTCAGTATTTAAACTGTTATTAATACAAGTTGTGGGGCAGCATTGACAAGTTTCTTTGATCCTGGATGTGTGAGCTGCATGATATCTTTTCACCCCTACCCCTTGACACTCTGTTTCAAGGGACATGGGGAAGGGGTAGGCGGAAGGTAGGGGAAGAGGAAGTGGTATAAAATAGAATTGGGATTGGGCCTTAGTGAACTGACATTGGTCAGTTGTCTAATTCGAAATTTGACTGGTTAGCATTAACTAAATGAACACATCTATGAATTTTTTTGATGGGAAATTAACAAAGTACAGCTGGTTGTTGTAATTGTGTTTTGGAAGCTCGTGTGTTGGTGATGAACTGTTGAACTAGCTTAACTGGAAAGTCAACCAGCTTTATCAGACCCGCATGACAGGTTTTGCTGGTTAAGATTCCTATGGTGGTAGCAACCCTGCTAACCAACATAAACCAGCATGAAGAGACCAGTTCAAACTAGTAGTGCTGGTCTTTTCATGTTCAAACTAATTAAAAGGGGCGTTTCACATCCCAAAGCTGCATGTCGTTTATCCACTCAGCGTCTTCACACTCAATTTTCTACTGACTAGATTTAACATACACTTCGAGCTTCAGTGACTTACAAGCAAGTGGCAGCCCGATCTTCACCAATGCTTCATGAAACGCCGCCTGTCTTTTCAACACATTCATTTACCTTGTTCCGAAAATTGAGCCATCGTCAGGATTTGATAGCGCCAAGTTCTGCCTGAGTGGATACAATAGTATTTGCACAACTCATACTTCTTTAAACTGATATAATAACATGCAAAGATGAAAAAACGTGCATTGCATTAAATTTAGCATCACCACTTATAGCTCTCAGGAAGATCCAATAAGCTCGCTCAATGAGGCGCATCCTATTATCCCCCAAGACATGGCAAACGCCGTCTGCCTCTGAAACAGAACAACCTGCTGCTTAAATCACTTAGCGAGTGCTGACTAGAAAGCGATGACGCTTGGATCTCGTATCCAAGACTGGAGATTGAATCTAGAATTTTCCCCTTGATTTATTCCCAGCCTTGGCTGAGCTGCAGTGGATTGTAACAGTGTGTTGGAACACAATCCACTGCTGTAATGAAACGCCTCACTCTGCTTTGACCTTCCATCTTGAATTAACACATATGCACGCCATCTGTTTGAGGTTAGTTTGGATCGTTGTTCTTCTAGTAAGGAAGGCCGCAGATTATAGAGGCTGTATGAGAGAAATATGACTGGTAATTGAGTTATTCAACAGATATGTTTTGTTGAACATATATATAGGATATTTAATATATAATGATAAATATCTAATAATAATTATGATTAAACATTGCATACATGTTAACTGCACTGAATTCTATAGAACTGAATAATCATATTAATCTAATTAATAATAATTAATTGAAACCTACGAGATCCTGTCTGTTAAATTGAACAGCATTTAAAAGCCTTGCATAAATATTAATTTGTGAATCTACACAGTGTCTTTATAGCTTCAAACAATTAAAGAGAACTTTCTTCGGCAAAAATACCTTCGATTTAATGCACTTTAATTTCAGCAATTTAAAAAAACTATCGTGCCAATCTTTCACAGGTTTAAACAGGTGAAAACTGTAATTATGCTGCACTTTGCACTTGTAATATTCAGACTGAGACGTTATAACGTTATAACATCACTCCCACTGAAGACCTCTGGACCTTCAAACCTGCCTCCATTTGCATACAGATAGAATCAAGGACACAAGGACACTGTGCCCTATATACTAGCGGTGATGTCCAGCACCCTACATGCTGCACTAACACATCGCTGTATCTTCAGGGTTTGTAGCTTTTAGGACCAAGTAGCAACATGCAGAGTGTCTCTTGACAAACGTTACTGTTACCCACCAGTACCAGGTCACCTGAGGGTCAGGGGAGCCGGACGTAATGCAGGTGAATGTCACTGACTCCTGATAGTCGGCAGTGGCATTGAAGGACTGCTGAGGCACTGACAGAACTGGAGGAACTGAAACAACACCAGACAGACAGTTAATCATGCATGCTTAATATGTTTTTCCATGTCTCTTTCTATACAAGAAAAGTCAGATGCTTGCATGTGTTATGTTTGGATTACACTCACTATTATCTAACATTCAAACTCCAACACTATTAGTATGGATCTCTTGACCAGTCGGCAGGGCTGGATTGGTAATCGGGCATACCGGGCATTTTCCCGGTGGGCTGACGCACTTAAGGGGCCGACAAAATGTTTTTGCTTTTTTTGCCAAGGACCATCACGCAGGGACAGCGAGCAGCCAGTGGCCGATTGGATTGTCTCCTGTATAGACAGCGTAAACCACCCAATCACAATGCGCCTGTATAAAGATCGCTTCACTCCAACTTCTTCCTCGTCGGTTTTTCCCACGTTTTCACAGCAGATTTATCAAGAACAGGCTTGTTCTGCGGGGAGTGATTAGCATTAACTAAATGAACACATCTATGAATTTTTTTGATGGGAAATTAACAAAGTACAGCTGGTTGTTGTAATTGTGTTTTGGAAGCTCGTGTGTTGGTGATGAACTGTTGAACTAGCTTAACTGGAAAGTCAACCAGCTTTATCAGACCCGCATGACAGGTTTTGCTGGTTAAGATTCCTATGGTGGTAGCAACCCTGCTAACCAACATAAACCAGCATGAAGAGACCAGTTCAAACTAGTAGTGCTGGTCTTTTCATGTTCAAACTAATTAAAAGGGGCGTTTCACATCCCAAAGCTGCATGTCGTTTATCCACTCAGCGTCTTCACACTCAATTTTCTACTGACTAGATTTGTGACTAAATGTTTCAATTAACATACACTTCGAGCTTCAGTGACTTACAAGCAAGTGGCAGCCCGATCTTCACCAATGCTTCATGAAACGCCGCCTGTCTTTTCAACACATTCATTTACCTTGTTCCGAAAATTGAGCCATCGTCAGGATTTGATAGCGCCAAGTTCTGCCTGAGTGGATACAATAGTATTTGCACAACTCATACTTCTTTAAACTGATATAATAACATGCAAAGATGAAAAAACGTGCATTGCATTAAATTTAGCATCACCACTTATAGCTCTCAGGAAGATCCAATAAGCTCGCTCAATGAGGCGCATCCTATTATCCCCCAAGACATGGCAAACGCCGTCTGCCTCTGAAACAGAACAACCTGCTGCTTAAATCACTTAGCGAGTGCTGACTAGAAAGCGATGACGCTTGGATCTCGTATCCAAGACTGGAGATTGAATCTAGAATTTTCCCCTTGATTTATTCCCAGCCTTGGCTGAGCTGCAGTGGATTGTAACAGTGTGTTGGAACACAATCCACTGCTGTAATGAAACGCCTCACTCTGCTTTGACCTTCCATCTTGAATTAACACATATGCACGCCATCTGTTTGAGGTTAGTTTGGATCGTTGTTCTTCTAGTAAGGAAGGCCGCAGATTATAGAGGCTGTATGAGAGAAATATGACTGGTAATTGAGTTATTCAACAGATATGTTTTGTTGAACATATATATAGGTAATTGTTGAACAAAATAGTTCCCTTTCAGTCGGTCACTCTCGACGTCACATCGGGTGGAACGTCTTTTTAAAGATGTCGAACCACCCGTGTGTTTCTGGGTGCGGTCATTACCTGGCGCCAGGTGATGGTCACAATCGCTGCCTCTCGTGTCTGGGCATGAAGCACGCTGAGGTGGTTTTCGTGGATGATTCATGCTCCCATTGCGGGGTATGACCATCTCGGAGTTGCGGACCAGACTCCATTACCTGCAAGGGGGCGGAGTGCCCGTGCCACTGCCTAGATCTGGGGTTCCCTCTGGCGGCAGCCGGGGGCGCCCTTTTTCTGGCAGTGGGCGGACTGGTCTTATGGTCACGGTGAGGAATTCCCCTCCGGGGATGCCCCAGCCAGCCGGCACTCCGAAACCAGTGGAGCTCTCAAAAGAGCAGGCTGGACCCTCCCGGGGGGTACCACCTGTTTCTTCCGAGGCTCCCCCCGACAATCGGATGTTGGTTGCAGCATCGGAGGGTGAGCCGGATTTCTCTGGGGATGAAGATCCGTCAGCGTTGCCGCCCTCTGGGCGGTCAGCGGTGCCGGATACGGACCCGGAAATGATGGCTATGCTTTCCCGGGCTGCCGAGAGTGTCGGGCTCGAGTGGAATCGACCCAAACCCTCAAGGTTGGACGATTGGTTTCTCGGGGTGGCGCGCTGGTTCTCAGGGCCCCACCCCAGTGCCTTTTTTCCCGGTGGTGCATGATGATATCGCTGGGTCATGGACGGCACCTTTCATTGCCAGAAACCGGCCCAGTGGCTCATCCTCCCTCATCACCCTTGATGGGGGTCCAGCGTGGGGGTACGCGGGAGTTCCCCAGGTGGAGCAGTCGGTTGCGATACAATTGTGTCCAAATGCCGCTACCACTTGGTGGGGCAAACCGTTGCTCCACTCCCGGGCCTGTAGGCACTCATTGGCCTTGATCGGCAGTGCTTATACGGCCTGTGGAGAAGCTGCGTCCACCTTACACGCTTCGGCGTTATTGCAAGTGCACCAGGCTAAGGCACTGAGGGACTTGCACGAGGGTGGTCACGACCCGGAAGTTCTCAAAGAACTCCGCACCACGACAGACCTCGCGCCACGAGTGACGAAGTTTACGGCGCGGTCTCTGGGTCATGCGATGTCCACTATGGTGGTCCAGGAGCGCCATCTCTGGCTGTGTCTGGCTGACATGCGCGAGACGGACAAGACAAGATTCTTGAATGCCCCCGTGTCCCAGACCGGCCTTTTCTGCGACACAGTGGAGAACTTAGCCCAGCAGTTCTCCGCAGCCCAAAAGCAGACTGAGGCCATCAGGTACATCCTGCACCGGCGTGCAGCTGCTGCCTCCACCCGGCCGCCGGTGGCAGTTCCTCAGCCCGTTCGTCACCGAGGGCGGCCCCCGGCCGCCACCCCCGCTCCCGCGCAGCACCCGCAGCAATCTTCAGCAAAACTGCGCCAAGGAGCCGGCCGCAGGGCAGCCGCCCCGCCCGCCCAGGCCCCCGCCAGACCTGGTGGTAAGCGAAAGAGCAAGAGGCCTGGAGACGGGCGACCCAAAAATGGAGGTTGCTCTTCGGGAGATGGTGAATGCACCACTCCCTCCCCCGGAGGAGGGCGGGGGCGGAGAATCTTTTGTTTCCTTTTTTTCCACGCGGTCAGCTTTGCTCTGTCCCGTCCAAGCCTTAAGGTGCTACGTTGACCGGACGCAAAGCTTCAGGACCTCAGACCAGCTCTTGTCTGTCACGGAGGCTGGCAGCAGAGGAATGCCGTCTCAAAGCAGAGGGTGGCCCACTGGATAGTGGATGCCATCACCCTGGCTTGTCAGGCACAGGGTGTGCCCTGCCCGTTAAGGTTGCGAGCTCACTCAACTAGAGGTGTTGCATCCTCCTGGGCGCTGGCTCGTGGCGCCTCGCTGGCAGATATCTGTAGAGCTGCGGGCTGGGCGACCCCTAACACGTTCTCTAGATTCTATAGCCTTCGTGTGGAGCTGGTATTCACCTGTGTTCTCACCTCAAACGGGTAGAATCACTGAGAGGCCCCGGCTTCGGGTCGGCTTGCAAAAACCACTCCAGAGAGTCCATATAGTAGACCCTATTGAGTTCCTCCTTCCCCTCGGCAGCCAGACGTGGCGGAGCGTCCAGCGCCAGGCCTTCACTCGTTGAATCCTCGAGAACCGGTAGAAGGCTGGGTTCCATATGTAAGACCTAAGTGGATCCCATATGTGTAAAGTCCATGGTATAGCCTTGAGCCCGTGGTTCTCCGGCAGACTTCTGCCATTCAAGAGGGTTACAATCACCTCCATTCTTCCATATGCACCTAAGGAATGTCCATATGTGTATTGCTTCCGAAACCTCCTTCGGGAAGGTTCGAGCTTTCGTAATGCCCCTGTTCCAAGTTCAACGGGTACGTTCCCAGTGTTATCCAGTCTTACTCATTGGGTAGTGCCATAGTAGCAGTAGCTGGTCCTCTGGTGAAGACCTGGCCTACGCCAAAAAGTAGGGGCGCAGGTGGCTTCCACAGGACACTGGAAGGGGCAGTAGCTGTGGCCTTTTGCTAGGATCTAAATTCATCGGTCGGCGAGGGGTAATGGGGTAAAGGCGAGGGATATAGGGAGGGTTGGTAAATGTCAGGAGTTGGGGGAAGGAACACAAGAGCGTCTCACTGCAGTGCTCTCTCGGGGGAGTAGTTGTCCCAACAGCGGCCTTGGCTGAGGCCAGTGCTGGTTGAGGGGAGCCAAAAGCAGATAAGATTAGGATTGTTTAGTCTTGGGGCAAGTAGCCGCATTCCAGTTTACACGACTACTCTCTTTGTCCATTCTGGTCTCCGAATCGATCCATTTGCCTTTGCAAAGCAGTGAGCTTCTCCGTGATGTTATCCATGATTTATTAGATTTTTCTTTTTTAAATCTGGAGAGCAGTGCGGAGAGAGTCTCTCAAAATTAGGACAGTGGACAAGACGAGAGGAGCAAAAGCAGGGAAGGTAACGGGGAGGAGAGGGAGAGGAAATGCGACCGCCTTCGCTGAGAGCCAAAGAAGAATATCATATGGGTTATCGTGATACTAGAATCACTTACCAACCTTGTCTGTATAAAATTATATCTAAAAACTCCCGTTTATGAGCTTATAAAGCAGATAAACACTGCAACTTCCACCCAAAGATATCATGAGAAAACTCACCCACAGCAATTAGTAATGCATAACCACACATAACCTATCTATCTACAGCAACAGTTCCACCTCAAAATAATGATTTTGACACTTTTTACTTAATCAATAGAATTATCCACCTTATTTTTCAACGCGGAAATAAGCTGTTTTTTTGTGGATGTGCAAGCCTTCCATTTCATTAGCCAATATTGGGAAATAACGAGAAGAATATCAAAGTGCAGTAAATGGTAAAACTATATGCGCTACAAACCAGTGTGTTTATAATTAAGACATTACATTAAAAATTTTTTTTTAAATGGCAGATTGCAGTTTCAAGCAGCAGCAGTTTGTACAGTTACAAATAACTGGAAGCAAATGACACTGGAAGCCAGACATGAAATTTACAAACGGCCGCGGCTATTCTAACGTGAAAAATAAGGTGGAGAGAATCTGTAGAATTAACAAAAACACAAGCCGCAGATTTTTTTCTGTTAAACTATCATGAATGTCTTGCCCCACTTCGATTGGATGTAATTTAAACACAACTTCAGTTTATTTTAGAAGGAGAAAATCAAAACGATTTCCTGCGATATGATGTCATTACAGCTTTACTTGTATTGACCACAGAATATTCCCTTCAGATGCTCTTTAAAACATGTTATTCGATCAGTTTCAAGATATTTCATCTCATTGCTTCGTTAACTTCATTGAATCTTTCAGATCTTGTTGCTTCTTCTCTACTGACAGACCAATGGCGTGCAGTGGTGTTTTAAAATGAGGAGGCAGTTATATATATATATATATATATATATATATACACATTCATAATCATGTTCAAATAGCTATAGATTCTATTTACACCTTACGTTAGCAGGATTTTCTGCTATTTATACTACTTATTGCAAATAGTGGCAATTATCTGCACCTCAGTATTGTAGTACATTATAAAACAGTATGCATTAATAACATATTGAGCGCCACTAGAGCAGTTACTGAAAGACAGTCTTCTGTAATGCTTTGTAATCACACGTTGATGGGTGGATTTAGTGTAAAACATCTGCCAACAAGGCGGGCTATTTGCACTTGTAAGTAGACACTCCGTTTTTTTTATTTGTGAACTGATGTTCAGCTGTTCTTTTGAATAGTCAACTTTTCGGTTCATCGTCATAAAAGCCCTGTCACAAACATTGTCACAGGCACAAAGATAACGTACATCTTTCATTTCATAAAGCTGAATGCTCACTAAAAACAGTCATCACGTCTTCAAGCCATTTCATGTTTCATTTTGACGTGACATAAAGCAGTGATATCTAAGCAGGATAGTTGTTTACTTACTTTATAATTAGTCAATAACGCCATAATTTTCTTCATTCATGCCGAGAGCTCGCACAAAAACAAGAGGCGGGATTTATCACATGAACCAATCACATCCAATCATAACCGATCATATCCAATAATAGCGCGATGGAGGCATTGCCTCCTCTCATGTGACTTTCCCCATTCATCTCAATGAGCCGCCAGAAAAGTCATGGCACGCGATCTCTGTAGAAAGTCTATGGACCGAAGGGAGGCAAGCCTCTGCTGTAACTTTACCTGTGGGTGTCACTGTTGGACAGGGTTACTTTATAAAAACGAGTGACTTTTAGACTTTTAATATCATATTTAGTCATATTTGTGTGGTTTTCTTTTTCTAATATCGATTATTTTCTCATCCAGTTTTGAGGAGAGGAGACACTGCCTCCCTTGCCTCCGTGGAGGAAACGCCCCTGTGACAGACGTTATTAAGTACTGCTAAATAGTTAAACATTGAAGTCCACATGAACCTAAGTTGCTATCTACTTTACTTCAGTATTGTGACGTATTTTCGACTAAAACTGAATACAGAATAGAGGGTGGAGTTTTATTTTAGTGCACCTCCCTGCCATCTCTCATTACCTAACAAACAACCATTAGAGGGGAGTGGTTAAGCTGTCAAACTGATGTCATCAGAGAAGGAGTGCCCTTCCAGAGCAGAAGCACATTTTCAGATTTTGTTTAAAGATTACCAAGTAAACTAACTTTCATGGATTAATAGTATCAATTCTGATTTCATATGGATTTTTACTGGTCAGTCTTTGACTAGAGTGGGTAAGCTACAGTATGATGCTGAAACACTCCTCCAGTCGAGCGCTGTATGCTTATTGAGCTGTTCAGAGCTCAGGGAGGATGTGCATACAGTATGTGAAGAACAGCTCTTACCGTTCACCAGCACCACAATATCCCTGAAATCGATTTCTCCTCTGGCCTCAACACGTGCCTCACAGCGATACACACCCTCATCAGCTTTACTCACTCTCAGGATCTGCAGGTTGTTGGTGGGAAGGACCTGAAATATGCCTTCGGGAAGAGAGAAACACAGACGTTAAAACTGTGTGAGAATGTGTGAGGGGAGCTTGCTTCACCTTACTGGTTGACAAGAGTGTTGCTTTGCGATTACTACAGTGTTCTCTTGTCCTACAGTTGCTCGAGCATTCCAAGTGGTTGCTAGTGTGTTGCTTTTTATTTCTAGGTTGTTCTTAATGTTGATATGTGGTTACTAGGGTGTCTGTAGTGTTTGCAAACACGTTACTATGCAGCTGCTGGGCTGTGGTTGCTATTGTTTTGCTATGCAGTTGCTACAGTGTTTGCCAACATGTTGCTAGGGTGTTCTGGATGTTTGCCATCATGCTGCTATGCAGTTGCTAGGGTGTTCTGTGTGTTTGCCAACATGTTGCCATGGAGCCCCTATGGTGTTCCAGGTGGTTGCTTGTGTGTTTCTGCAGTTGTTAGTGGATTTTTGTGTTTTTCAAATATGTTTCTATCGAGGGGTGAGAACCAGAAAGGGGACATTTCACCAACTTTACAGGAGAGCCAAAACAAAAATGTTACCATAGTTTGATTTGACTTTGTGTACTGATTTCAATTGTTTATAATAAGAATGTGTACACTCATGGATGACAGTACTTTTGCCAGTAGAAAGAGATCATTAAGAGCTTTCATTTGATATATATGTATATCTCCATTTCACCAAAAATGTCACTTACGCCCTTCTGGTTCACACTGTCACGGATTGCCAGGAGAAAACAAGGTAAGTTCCAAGTGCAGTTTATTTGAAGGTAACAACGTAACAAAACAGAACAAAAAACGTGGCAAAAGTTAATCCAAAACATGACCACAGATAACACAAACTGAGAAGACAATACAATCAAGACGCAAATGACAGACAGAGAAAGCATGATATATATAGCTGGGATAATGAGTAAATGATGAACAGGTGTTACAGATCAGAGCAGGATTAATGAGCAGGGGACTATGGGAAATGGAGTTTAACACAAACAACATAGAACAGAAGAGCGCCCTCAAGTGACCAGTCCAGGGCACCACAACCAAACACTGTGACATTACCCCCCCTCTACGGAGCGGATACCAGACGCTCCACCAGAAACACAAAAGTTCAGGAGGGAGGTGGAATAAAGGCGGACCAGGGGGAGGGATGGCGGGCCAGGACCAAACAACGGAAGAAGACCAAGGGACAGAGATAGACCAAGGCATGAGCACAGAACCGGCAGGGTGAAAGGCCAAGGCGGGACCGGCAGGATGGACCAGCAAGACCCCAACCACACAGGACTCCCAGCAGATGGCCAGGATGGAGCCGGAGGAGTGAGCCAGTGAGGCTCCTGCCACACCAGAACCCAGGCGGGCAACCAGGACGGAGCCAGAATCCTGTCAGGCAACATTGGTGGGACATAAATCCCTCTCAGCAACTCAGGAGTACCTGAAAACAAGAGCAGAGAGAGTTTAGTCTCAGCGGACTCTGTGGGCTCCCGGAACGGAGTGGCCTCTGGAGTGGGCTCTGTGAGCTCCCGGACTGGAGCGGGCTCAGGACTGGGTTCTGCGAGCTCCTGGACTGGAACAGGCTCTGGAGTGGTCTCAGCGAGCTCCCCGACTGGAGCGGGCTCAGGACTGGGTTCTGCGAGCTCCTGGACTGGAACAGGCTCTGGAGTGGTCTCAGCGAGCTCCCCGACTGGAGCGGGCTCAGGACTGGGTTCTGCGAGCTCCTGGACTGGAACAGGCTCTGGAGTGGTCTCAGCGAGCTCCCCGACTGGAGCGGGCTCAGGACTGGGTTCTGCGAGCTCCTGGACTGGAACAGGCTCTGGAGTGGTCTCAGCGAGCTCCCCGACTGGAGCGGGCTCAGGACTGGGTTCTGCGAGCTCCTGGACTGGAACAGGCTCTGGAGTGGTCTCAGCGAGCTCCCCGACTGGAGCGGGCTCAGGACTGGGTTCTGCGAGCTCCTGGACTGGAACAGGCTCTGGAGTGGTCTCAGCGAGCTCCCCGACTGGAGCGGGTTCCTGCATCTCCCGGGGCACTGCAAGGGACTCAGACTGACATGAGATTACCAAGTTGCGGTAACCAAGGTAATCAATGAGGCCCAAAAGTCAAGCATTTTAAGCCCATCCATCTCCCGAGGAGGAACGGGATTGTCTAAACAATCATTAAGGATTTTTTAAAAGTCTGAGTTATGAAGTCCCATCCCTACCGCAAGGTTCCAAAAGGACTGAGCGAAACCTCCAATCTCCATCCCCCGTTGGCGAAGATCCGCAAACATCCGGAGCCGAGCCCTGCGCTCCTTCGAAGAAGGAGGAATAATCCGAACGTCCATGATCCACAAAAAGGTAACAAAAACAAACTGCTGGAACTGGTAATGGCGTCTTGATTCTGTCACGGATTGCCAGGAGAAAACAAGGTAAGTTCCAAGTGCAGTTTATTTGAAAGTAACAACGTAACAAAACAGAACAAAAATGTGGCAAAAGGTAATCCAAAACATGACCACAGATAACACAAACTGAGAAGAAAATACAATCAAGACGCAAATGACAGACAGAGAAAGCATGATATATATAGCTGGGATAATGAGTAAATGATGAACATGTGTTACAGATCAGAGCAGGATTAATGAGCCGGGGACTATAGGAAATGGAGTTTAACACAAACAACATAGAACAGAAGAGCGCTCTCAAGTGACCAGTCCAGGGCACCACAACCAAACACTGTGACACACACCCCTCGCTATGTAGTGTACTGTAGTTGCCAGTGTTCCGAGTGTATACCAAACATTTTGCTATACAGTTGTTTGTATGGTTCCAGGTGGTAACTACTGTGTTGCTATGGAGTTGCTTGTTTTTTTTTGGAGGGGTGTGTGTGGGGGGGGTGGGGTTGTGTTTGCCAACATGTTGCTAAGCTGTAGCTAGGGTGTTCTGAATGTTTTCCAACATGTTGCTATCCAGTAACTGGCATGGTTACAATTGGTCTCTAGTGTTTTGCTATGCAGTTGCTAGGGTGTTCTAGGTGTTAGTTAACATGTTGCTATGCAGTTGTTGCGGTGTTCTGAATGTTTTCCAGTGTGTTCCTTTGCAGTTGATAGTGTATTCTTAGTCCTGGTCAACATGTTGCTATGCAGTTGCTGGGGTGTCCCAGGTGGTCATTACTGTGTTGCTATGCCATTACTAGGGTGTTCTAAGTGTTTGCCAACATGTTGCTATGCAGTCACTTTGGTGCTCCAGGTGGTTGCTAGTGTGTTGATACACATTTTCCAGGGTGTTCTGGTTGTTTCTTAACATGTTGCTATACAATTGCTGGTATGGCTCTAAGTGGTGGTTGATATGTTGCTATGTAGTTGCTTGTATGGTTCCAGGTGGTAATTACTGTGTTGCTATGCACATACTATGGTGTTCTGAGTGTTTGGAAACCTGTTGCTATGCAGTCGCCAGGTGGTTGCTACTGTGTTGCTAGGATGTTTTAAGTGTTTGTCAACATGTTATTGTACAGTTGCTGGTATGGTTGCAAGTGTGTTGCTTTGCAGTTGCTAGGCTGTTTTGAGTGTTTGGCAACATGTTGCTATGCAGTCGCTGGGGTGCTAATGTGTTGCTATGCAGTTGGTAAGGTGTTCTAAGTGTCTGTTAACATGTTGCCATACAGTTGCTGGTGCGATTCCTGTTGGTTGCTAGTGTGTTGCTATGTAGTTGCTAGGGTGTTCTCATTGTTTGCCAACATGTTGCTATGCAGTTGCTGGGGTCCTCTGAGTGTTTATTTGTGCATTGCCATGCAGCTGTTAGCGTGATTTGGGTAGTTGTTAGGGCATTGCTTTGCATTTGCTAAGGTGTTCTGAGTGGTTTGTGTGCTGTTGCTAGGGTGTTCTATAGTCTGAGATAGACAGACTGGCAAATTGCATGGGTTTAATCGTACAATGCTGAAATGTAATGCTCAGTGTTCAAAGACTAACTGACAAGAAACAGTAATAGTGATACTGCTACTTACTTTAGCAAATGATTACTGAAGCAATGTAAATGAAACTGATACTACTAATAACAAATGTGTCTGTGCCAAATAACATTTCAGATGTCACAGTCTTGGAGTCTTTGAATTGATCACTAAACTAAAACCAACAGGCAAATGGTTTCTAACGGAACTTAAAGTCATTCTGTTACATTTAAAGCGTTTGACAGAAATATAGTCCTCTGTGCGGGGAAAAAGTTAAAGATTTAATCAACATACTCATTTTTTTATCTTTGTGCAATAATAAGAAAATATTATCATTAATCCTCAAAACTACTTCTGCTTCTATTTCAAGGACATTTGCTAAATGAAACACCTTCAGGATTACAGTCTTTCTTTGGCTTTTGTCATCCCTCACTGATAAACACCCACCTTTTCTCCTCTCATCCACAAGAGATATTTATAACTCTCTCCCTAATTACAATAAAAATAATCAAATCTCCATCTTTTGAGATTTCTCCACCTTTTAATCTCCCAGGCTGGAAAGTGCAGATAGCTTGTCAAAGTTCTGCCTTTGAATTCGAATTAATGGTTTGACAACTAAAACATAGACAGAAGTATTTATTCCTTCAGCAGAGAACTTTACTGAATTCAGACACTGAACGTGGTTTATGTGCTTAATTCAGGCCCGTTTCTAGCCAATTTGACGCCCTAGGCGAAATCCCTATTGCCCCCCCCAACCAATTATATATATACAGTGGTGTGAAAAAGTGTTGGCCCCCTTCCTGATTTCTTATTTTTTTGCATGTTTGTCACACTTTAATGTTTCAGATCATCAAACAAATTTAAATATTAGTAGAAGATAACACAAGTGAACACAAGATGCAGTTTTTAAATGAAGGTTTTTATTATTAAGGGAAAACAAAATCCAAAACTACATGGCCCTGTGTAAAAAAGTGTTTGCCCCCTAAACCTAATAACTGGTTGGGCCACCCTTAGCAGCAACAACTGCAATCAAGCGTTTGCGATAACTTGCAATGAGTCTGTTACAGCGCTGTGGAGGAATTTTGGTCCACTCATCTATG